CTCCTATTTGCACACTACAGTACCAGCTCCGTTGACGGACGACGGGGTAGCGGTTGTCGATCTCCGCTCCTATCTTGCGAAGATTGACCGCGAGTACGCCACCCAAAGGTACGCCGGAACTGACGCGCCTTTGCTCTATATCCGCATTCAGATCGGAAAGGCAACCTGTAGTGCCTTGATTGATTGCGGAGCGTCTCGCAACTTTATGAGCCAAGCCTTTATGGCCCGCGCAGGTCTTGGCCCGCGCGTTCGAAGAAAGACGCAACCTACGCAAGTTACACTCGCGGACGGCCGCACCCAAAAGTCAATCGACCGATGCGTCGACGGCGTTCCAGTATACTTTGAGCCACTTGCGTGCGAGCCGGTGTCTTTTGACATCCTCGACACCAAGTTCGACATGATTCTAGGCATGTCTTGGTTGCGTAGCGCCGATCATCTGGTGAACTTCCATGACCGAACCGTTCACATCCGTGATCGGAACGGAGTGTTAGTCCCATGTACGGTCGCGACCCCTCACACTTCGATTGCTTGTCACGTGGTTTCCGTTGCGAGAATTCGCGACACCATAGCTTGGAATGACGTCGAGGAGATGGGCCTTGTATTCTTGCATGCTCTCCCTTCGCCGGACGGACCAGCCACGTCACCACCGGACCCATGCATTTCTCACCTCTTGGACGAGTATAGAGACGTATTCGAGGCTCCCACCGGAACGGTCCCGGATCGGCCCATACGTCACGGGATCACTCTCGAGGCTGGCGCCGTCCCTCCGCGTGGATGTATCTACCGCATGAGCGAAGAGGAACTCGAGGTGCTTCGCGCACAACTCGATGACCTTCTCGACAAGGGCTGGATTCGCCCTAGTTGCTCGCCATACGGTGCCCCTGTTCTCTTCATCCGAAAGAAGAACAAAGACCTACGGTTATGCATCGATTATCGGAAACTTAACGCACAGACCGTCAAGAACACCGGCCCTCTCCCTTGGATTGATGATCTTCTTGAGCGGTTAGGCGGCGCGACGTACTTCTCGAAGTTGGACTTGAAGTCAGGTTACCACCAGATTGAAATCCAGCCTCAAGATCGGTACAAAACCGCGTTCAAGACACGGTACGGGCATTTTGAGTGGGTTGTAATGCCATTTGGCCTCACCAATGCCCCCGCAACTTTCCAAGCAGCGATGACGACTGAGTTCCCCGACTTGCTCGATCGCAGCGTCCTCATTTACCTCGATGACATCTTGGTTTATAGTAGGACGTTGGACGAGCACATCGTACACCTCCGCGTTGTTCTGGATCGTTTGCGACGAGCCAAGTACAAAGCGAATCTCGACAAGTGCGAGTTCGCCAAGCAAGAGCTTGAGTACTTAGGTCATTTTGTCACGCCGAAAGGCATTCGTCCCTTAGCGGACAAGATCCAAGCCTTCGTGGATTGGCCGGAACCCCGTTGCATGACGGATGTACGCTCTTTCATGGGTTTGGCTGGATATTATCGGCGATTCGTCGAGTCATACTCGAAAGTGGCCGCTCCTTTGTCGAGACTCCAGTCCCCGAAGGTGCC